AAATTTTTACCACTCTATATTTGTGAAATGATTGAAAATTTTGTTAAAAAGGGAGGCCCTAACCCTAACCCTGTTAACCACTCCATAAGCCATTGATTGTTATCAAAACAGAAATTTACTCAAATTTTAACTTTTTTTATTTAATGTTCACTATTTCAACTATTTGACAAGTAATGATCTAAAAAACTTACATAATTAGATTATTTTTAATTTGATATAAATAAATAATCAAGCGCTAGATAATTCAAAATGGGCGGAGTTAATTTATTAAAAGTACAATATGATTGTTTGTAAACATGGACGATACCATAGGAGTACCTATCTCACGTTTTACCGAGTATGACTCAGTATATTCCACAAGGCATTAAGAACAAGATGCATCAAATTGCATGAGACTGAACTTAGCCACAATGACCGACCTATATAATTTTATAAGCAATCTTCGATGCCAATTATACACACGTTAAAAAGCCAATTATACGCACGTTAAATAGAGATAAACGTAAAAGAGAGAGGGTACAGCAAGCCTGCATGCATATGCGATATGTTATATTATGTTATATGATATATGCTGTTTAAATAGCAGCCGACATGTATGCATGTTATTATAAGCTTTTTTTACTCTTACTGAAACTTGGCACGAGGACTCTAACTCTCCCTCTCTTATTCTTGCTACTCCTGATGGTTACAGCTTCCTTGAACTCTCTAGACCTCCAAAAAATCTTCTATCATCTTCTCATTCTTCTTATGGAGGTATCTGTCTGTTTTATAAATCTCTATTTACTGCTTCCATTAATACTTCCTTTCACTTTTCTTCTTTTGAATGTCTTGCTGTATCTCTTAAGTCTTCTTCTCCATCTTTCTATATTGCTGTAATCTATCGCCCTCCTTCTTCTTCTCTCACTTTATTTTTAGATGAATTCTACTCACTCGCTGAATCTCTCTACTCTTTTTCTATTCCTTTCTACATCTCTGGTGATTTTAACTTGCACTTCAATAATTTATCATGTTCTTACACTTGTAGGTTTAATGATATTTTGTCTCTTTTTAACTTAACTCAATATTGTTCTTTTCCTACCCATACTTCTGGTAACA